ATGAGTTGGTTGTATTTTTTGTTTTATCGTTGTTAGATGCCCAAAGCCAGTGACTCAAACTGGTTAGCCCGGCTCGTCGAGAAGCATTTGAATCGGTCGCCGGACTTCTCGCAGTCCAAGCTGGGTGCCCGAACGAGCTTCCAGGTGCGCCACTTTGCTGAGGTGGTGGCCTATACGGTGGCTGGATTCGTTGAGAAGAACTGTGACCGTGTGATAAGAGAACATGCTGCTATCTTTGAGAGGACCTCGGTAAGCCATTCTTTGTGTTTCCTCCATTCCTCGCCACTCATATGCTGTCCTCTAAAAAATTGTAAACCTTAAGGCAAAAGTCCCTCTAGTTGATCTGCACTACCTTATAAACGCTTGCTTATAATGCCTGTACATGCACTACGATGGGTTTCATTACGAATAACCAAAACACGGTGCCAATAGTTGGTGAATTAATGCTCACCGATTGCTTACGAAACCCACTCGCCCCTTCTGCCTCGCCGTGTTTGGGGCTTCCCAAAGCAATTCCTCTCGTTGACTGTCCAATGTTTGCGTTAGTGCCCTGCTGTAGTCATCTACCCCGCAGCAGTGGATAACTGCTGTAATCACTCTGGACGAGGGGATGTCAAATCTTCACCTGTTGGAACAAATGATTTACGTTCGACCCAGGCTGGTGTTTACGGTCTGCATAAATTGCCCGTAGCATGCAGCTGGTAGGTTGTAAGATCCTACGGGGGATTTTTGAACTTATTTGCTCAGGTTTTCAGTGTTGGTGTTTCATAAGTGCAGAAACGTCTTTAATAGAATGAGGGGCTACCTGGCGAAAATTGACGAACGCCCTCTTTCTCTCTCTGCGTCATTTGCTGTACGCTGTAGAGACGTATATGCTTGAGTGCCTCGGAGGTTTCTGGTGTCTTTCCGAAGATCCAAATTTGAGGCACTCGCCCTAGTGCTTTGATCTTAGAATGCCTGAAGGTGGGAACTTCCCCCCCGCCGTCATATTTGTCCTCCTGACTGCGTGGGATACAAAATGATC